ATTCTCCTGCCTCAGCCTCCCAAGTAGCTGGGACTACGGGCACTTGCCACCATGCCCAGCTAATTTTTGAATTTTTAGTAGAGACAGGGTTTCACCATGTTGGCCAGGATGGTCTTGATCGCTTGATCTCATGGTCCGCTGGCCTTGGCCTCCCAAAGTGCTGGAATTATAGGCGTGAGCCACTGAGCCCAGCCCCATCTAGCACTTTCACAGTTTAAGAGACGTCAATACCTGTCATTAAAACTACAAAAGACAGGCTGACTCTTGTTAGGGGCTTACATAGCCGGTGACTTCAGTTTGAAGCCAGTGCTCATTTACCACATGGAAAGTCCTAAGGCCCTTAAGAATTCTGCTAAATCTATTCTTATGCTCTGTGAATGGAGCCACAAAACCTGGATGATGACACATCTGTTTGCAGCATGGCTTACTGACTCTTAAAAGGCGTACTGTAGAGACCTACTGCCCAGACAGCAAGATTCCTTTCAAAGTATTATTGCACCTTGGCAACATCCCTAGTCACCTGAGATCAAGGAGTAATTTTGACTTTCAAGCCTTATTATTTAATAAGTACATTTTGTATGGGTATAGCTGCCATAGATAGTGATTCCTCTGATGGATCTGGGCAAACTAAATTAAAAAGCTCCTGGAAATCTGATATGTTTGTGACGTTGTTTCCTCTTCTTCTTTTCCTTCTTTCCCTGCCTTAGTTAGCCTTGTACTTAGGTGTGGATGCTTGTCATTTCCCCGGCCCCAGTTTTGTACCTACTTCAAGTTTGTTCTCCACCAAATAGCCAAAATAATTTCAGCATTCTAGTTGCCATTGAAAACATTTATGAATGCAGTGGTTGCACGCCTGTACTCCTGGCTACTCAGGAAGCTGAGGTGGGATGATTTGTTTGAGCTCAGAAGTTCAAAGTCAGCCTGCAGGAAAGAGGAGACACCTTAGCAAGATTCCTTAAAAAGAAATTGTGATTAATGGATCAAAGACGTTAATATATCAGCATTAATAAGCATTTGGAAGAAGTTGATTCTAACCTTCATTGATAACTTTGGAGGGGCTCTAGACTTCAGTAGAATAAGTAATTGCAGATGTGGTAGAAACAGCAAGAGAAGTAGAATTAGAAGTGGAGCTTGGCTAGGCATGGTAGCATGTGCCTATATATAGCATTTGTGAGGCTGAGGCAGGAGGATTGCTTGAGGCTAGGAGCTTGAGACTAGCCTGGGCAACATAGTGAGACCCCAGCTCTAAGAAAACAGAAACACAGAACTGAAGCCTGTAGCTACATCTCAGTTACTGCAATCTCATGATAAAACATGAATGGATAGTGGTTGCTGCTTAATGGGTAAGCAAAGAAAATGGTTTATTGAGTTGGAATCTATTCCTGGTGAGGATGCTGTGAACATTATAGACATGACAACAAAGGATTTAGAATATTACACAAACTTAGTTGGTAAAACAGTGAAAGAGTATGAGAGAATTGACTCCAATTTTGAAAGAAGTTCTGTGGGTAAAATGCTGTCACATAGTATCACCTGATACAGAGAACTCTTTGATGCAAGGAACAGTCAAGCATTTCAGCAGACTTCATTGTCATCTTATTTTAAGAAATAGCCACAACTACTCTTAACCCTCAGCAATCACCATCCTGATGAGGCAGCAGCCATCAACATCAAGGTAAGACCCTCTACCAACAAAAAGATTATACTTTGCTGTGGGCTGAGATGATTGTTAGTATTTTTAAGCAATAAACTATTATTTAATTCAAGTATATCCTTTTTTGTTTGTTTGTTTGTTTGTTTGTTTGTTTTATATGTAATGCTATTACACAGTTAATAGCTACAGTTTAGTGGAAACATAACTTTTATACGTACCAGGAAAGCAAAAATTTGTGACTCACTTTATTGCAGTGGTCTGGAAACAATCCCATAATCTCTTCGAAGTATGCCTACATAGGCATAGGATCTGAATTTAATTTTTCATGTGTTTTATTGAACACTGGCAGTAAAATTTAGTGGTAAGATCAAAACAACAGAATCAAACACTTTTGAGTCTTAGCCTTTCTCCTTGTCTGTGTGACTGGCTGAGTTTCCTAACCTCTTTGTGTCTGTTTCTCATTTAGAAAATGAAGATAATCATAGTATTTATCTTACAGAATTGTAGTAAAGATAAGATGTGATGTATGTGAAATATTTAGCACAACATCTGATACATATCAAGCACTCTGAATGTTAAATAATATTGATACTTCTATTTTCAACTTGTATTAAGAGCCCGTGTTTCCTTTGAACTCTACTAATGCACAGAAGACTTGGATATCATGATCTTTGCCCTGAGGAATTTATCTTCCAGAGAAAGGAAGCTGAAAAAGTTGATACCTTCTGAAACGTTTTTAATAAAATCTGGGAAATGAGATGGTGGAAAATTCCTTAGGCTAGGCCTTTTGCATGTATAATGTTGATTAAAGGTTTTTGTACCCGTTAGGTCATTTATCTTCGCAGTAGACACATCTCAAGGTGACCTCTGCTGTGTTTGGTAAAGGAGAATGCCTACTTAGAACAGGAGGAAAATCTGCAATTGAGTTGACGATGGTAATACCATCTTTGAAGGAAATCTTTGAAGGAAAATCTGCAATTGAGTTGACAATGGTAATACCATCATTAACTTCCTGCTTTGGCAGGAGTAGAAAATTAGAAAGAAAGGCAAAGAGAAAATTCAGAAAAATGGGAGAAAAATGAATAAGGCAGCCATAAAGTCATAACAACCTGAATCAGTTTATTAACTGAGCTGATGCATGAATAAACAAAATATGATATACACATACCATTGAATATTAGACCATGATAAGGAATGACGTTCACATGGTACGCAATGGATGAACCTTAAAAACATTACGCTAAGTGAAAAAAGTCACAAAAGACCACGTTTTATGTGATAATCCATAGGAGCAGAAAATAAATTAGTTCACGCCAGGGGTTGGAGAGAGAAGGAAGTGGGGAGGCAGTGCTAATGCATACCGAGTGTCTTTCTGTGGTAATGAAAATGTTCTAAAATTAGATAGTGGTAATGGTCACCCAACTGTGGATATACCACAAACCATTAAATTGTATAGTTTTAAAGGCCGAATTTTATGATATGTATACTATATGTCAACAAATATTATAAAAAGAAAGAAAAATGTGTATGATAATGGTGGTGTCACCAGCATTTATGTAAGGATTTGCTTAGGGAAGTTATAGCTTAGAAATTGAGGAAGTACATTTCAACAAGAACACCACAATTGACAGCATCAGCAATACAGGAATATTTGTGTACAGCCAAAAATCTTTTGACACATGTTATGCTATTGTTGTATAAATAAGTTTATACAACAATTACTTGATGCATAGTTCATGAATTAAAACTGTATTTTTTTATTCTGTCTTATGACTTTACTACCAATTATATTTTACCTCAGTTTGAGAGAGTGTTCTCAGCTTGGTATTGAATATGCTACCTATAAAGTTCAAGACCAGCCTGGGCAACATACGTATGTTGTCTCTATAAAAAATAAATTAAGCTGGGTGCAGTGGCTCAAGCCTGTAATCCTAGCACTTTGGGAGGCCGAGGCAGGTGGATCACCAGGTCAAGAGATTAAGACCATCTTGGTCAACAAGGTGAAACCCCATCTCTACTAAAAATACAAAAAATTAGCTGGGCATGGTGATGCGTGCCTGTAATCCCAGCTACTCAGGAGGCTGAGACAGGAGAATTGCCTGAACCCAGGAGGCGGAGGTTGTGGTGAGCCGAGATCGTGCCATTGCACTCCAGCCTGCGTAACAAGAGCGAAACTCTGCCTCAAAAAATAAAAAAATTAATTAATTAATTAATTAAAAAATAAAAATAAAAAATTAGCCAGGCATGGTGGTGTGTGCCTGTAGTCCCAGCTACTCTGGAGCCTGAGGTGGGAGGATTGCTTGAGGCTTTGAGATTGAGACTGCACTGAGCCATGTTCATAACACTGCACTGCAGTCTGGATGACAGAGTGAGACCCTGTATTTAAAAAAACCAAACCAAAACAAAAAAACAACTTGTAGTAATCATTCTAGAGGCATTGCTTGATGTTACAAATATGAAATACCCAGTTGGGTTTTTTTTTGTTGTTGATAACTTGGTCACTGTATGTTTTTGGCCCAATTCAGCCACCCTCTGTAAGTCTTCCTTCAATTCCTAACTGATACCCTTCTGGATCTGTCTTTTCTTTCCAGCTATCCAACCATTCATTTTATTCACTGTTCAATCCCCTTTTCTCTTTCTTTCTTTCTTTCTTTTTCCTTTTTTTTTTTTTTTTTTTTTTTTGAGACAATCTTGCTCTGTCACTCAGGCTGGAGTGCAGTGGGACAGTTTCAGCTCACTGCAGCCTCCATCTTTTGGGTTCAAGCCGTTCTTCCGCCTCGGCCTCACAAAGTTCTGGGATTACAGGTGTGAGCCACAGGGCCCGGCCTCAATCCCCATTTCTTTTCACTTCATTGCACAGGCTGTCATAATCTTACACCTCAGCTATTACAACTCTGCTTTCAGACTTATCTGGAAAAGTAAAGTGCCTATTTCCCAGAAAACTTTTCCAAAGAAAATATTGCTTCTGGATGCCAGATGTCTGTTTAAGACCTAACATCTGTCTAAGACTAAGAAATAGTCAATTTAAGGGTACAAGATCCAGGCTCCAAGAGTAGCCTGGAGACCTATCATTATTTCATCTTAGCTTTTTTTTTTTTTAATAGAATTTTAAATAAAATTTATTGGAAGAATACAGAGGTTCTTGCAGAGATTTCAACAGCTGCAAGGGATCAGCAGCTAGAATCATGCCTTTCTGAAGGACAGAGTATGCTTTGATCACAAACTTCTAATTTTGAGTTCTGCACCATCAGGTAGAGAATATCCTAGAGGACAGTTCTCCTTGTATACTGCATAAGGGACTAGAATGTAGATGCATTTCTGCTTGCTTTTTGATCCTTACATTTCTTTATGCTGGCCTCAACTTGTCAAGCACATGTTGGCAGACATTCATGAGCTCATTCAGGCCTCTCTGAAATGGCTCAACAGCTGGAAGGGCACCTCGAGTCTGAATGCGTAAATTAATTTTGCTCTCTGAAGGATGGGTCATAGTGTAACCACAAAATTCCACTTCCAGGTTCTTCATGATCATGTAACGCAGAGAATTTCCTAGGATGTGATCCTCCTTGTGCAATACAAATTTCACACAGTGTCTATCTGTTTCAGCTGCCTGGACCATTTCCAGGGCTGTCTTCCTCTCGCCTTCAGCCATTGAGGTCTTCAGTCCAGATATTTTTCTGTCCAGTTCCTGGTCCTCTTCCATCGTGGAGGCAGTTTCTGGATCCTCAGGTGGTGCTAGCCTATCGGGGGTTCTGCCCCATAGCACGAGGCGTGGAGGCGAAGCAGGAAGGAAGGCCTTAGCTTTGCTTTAATGTTATTTTTAAATCTTTTTGCAAGTCTCCCACACCTATTAGATGAGTTTTAATTCCTACATTGTTTCCTTGATGCTGTCTTCATCCTAGACCACATTAAAGAACCTGCTCAATTCAATTAGCTGGGTGTGGTGCCAGCACCTGTAATCCTGGCTACTCAGGAGGCTGAGGCAGGAAAATTGCTTGAACCCAGGAGGCAGAGGTTGCAGCGAGCCAAGATAGTGCCACTGCACTCCAGCCTGGGCAACAGAGTGAGACTCCACCTCAAAAAAAGAAAAATGTAATTTTTTTCAATTTATCAGTATGACTATATTCACAAAGTTTTCTATTCTGGTAAGTCCTTAAACGTATAAATATAATTATGTGAATTTAAAATACTCATTATATTTTATGGATATTGATATGTATGCATTTTACTTCTCCAACTTCTTTTACATATCCACTATAAGTAAAGCTTTTATTTTTCTGTTGTTTCCAGAAAACTTTTATTAAATGTTTGTTTACTCATTTCAGCAAATGTATAGATTGGTGTGGATGTTTTGGTAGGGTTTTATTTTGTCTTGTTTTTTAGGATATCTGATGGTAACAAATCAGGTATATTTCAAATCACCACCTGGTAAGAAAAATTTGTAGGTTGTTTTTGTGGGGGTACAGGGTCTTGCTCTGTCACCCAGGCTAGAGTGTAGTGGCATAAACATGGCTCACTGCAGAGTTGACCTCCTGGTCTCACGCAGTCTTCTCACCTCAGCCTCTTGAGTAACTGGCACCACAGGTGCATGCCACCACACCCAGCTAACTTTATAGAGACAGAGTTTCGTCATGTTGCTTAGGCTGATCTTGAACTCCTAGCCTTAAGCAGTTCTCCTGCCTTGGCCTTACAAAGTGCTGGAGTTACAGGCATGAGCCACCATGCTTGGCCTGACCTGTTGATTTTAATAATATTAGCTGTCACTGATTAAATGCTTGCTGTTTATCAGACACTGTAGTAAATTATTTAACCCTCACAACAGCTCTGTTATCCTTACTTTACCGAAGAGGAGAATGAGGCATGGAGGAGATAATTCAAATTTCAACTGTACAATCCATACTCATAGCCACACCTTTATAATATTGCCTCTCAAATTAAGCTAGACATCCTGTAAACAAATCTTAGACCTCAGCATTCAAAAGTTAGTCATTTAAAGTAGCTCTTGCTAAAGTAAGATATTTTTATATTAAAGATAAATATAATATTTACATAAAGCTACAGCAGGATAAACAGGTAGATGATAAGAAGGGATACAAAGTCAAATGTGCTCACCCTGAATAACTAGTAAGGGACAGCAAAAAGCACAGAATGTATCATTCCCAGTTCATTAGTTAATACCTCTTTCCAAGATTCCAGAATTCATGCATGTAACCTAGGCATCATCTTAATACTAATGTGGTGTTTAAGAAATAAAATAGGCTTGGTCCTGTGGCTTACACCTATAATCCCAGCACTTTGCAAGGCCAATGTGGGAAGATCACTTGAGGCCCAGAGTTTTCGACCAGCCAGGGCAACAGAGAGACCCTGTCTCTACAAAAAAATTTAAAAATTAACCAGGTGTGGTGGCACATACTTGTAGTCCCAGATACTCAGGAATCTGGGACAGAAAGATTGTGTGAGCCCAGAAGTTTGAGACTGCAGTGAACTATGTTGATGCCACTGTACTCCAACTTGGAAAGCATAGCAAGAACCTGTTGCTAAAAAGTATGGAAATAAAAATACAAGTCATTATGTGATAGCATTCAGTATTCGATGAGATCAATAACATCCAAAAACTATTAGGGCTTTTGTAACATAATACCACCATTACTAGTTGTCATTCATTAAGCAGGTACTTACTGAGTCCCAGACTATTATAATTTATTTTAGTTTTTAACAGAATTCGAATAAGATTTGAGTGACATTTAAAATGTTTAAGCCGGGCGCGGTGGCTCACGCCTGTAATCCCAGCACTTTGGGAGGCCGAGGCGGGTGGATCACGAGGTCAAGAGATCGAGACCATCCTGGTCAACATGGTGAAACCCCGTCTCTACTAAAAATACAAAAAAAAAATCAGCTGGGCATGGTGGCACGTGCCTGTAATCCCAGCTACTCTGTAGGCTGAGGCAGGAGAATTGCCTGAACCCAGGAGGCGGAGGTTGCGGTGAGCCGAGATCGCGCCATTGCACTCCAGCCTGGGTAACAAGAGCGAAACTCCGTCTCATAAAAATAAAATAAAATAAAATAAAATAAAATAAAATAAAATAAAATAAAATGTTTAAATCTGTATACCTGATGATGAAGAGAAAAACTCCCTTTTGACATGATATTATACACTGATGTTCCATAAATTGCATAAATCACATTGTAAGTCATGAATAACTCCCAAAACATGACTTTTCTGATATCTTACAGATAAATTTTACTCTAATTTTAAAGCCATACCAAGGTGTAAAACAGCATGTATAGTATGAATAAGGGAGAAACTTGTATACTCATTCACATGTATAATGCACACATGTATGTGCTTGCATATACACCAATGTTTTCTGAGGATAAGTAGGAAATACTTAATAATGATTTTCTCTGTGGAGATTGACCTAGGAGCAGGATGGGAAAGAGAAGACTTTTTTAGTTTTCCCTCATTTGTTGTCAATTTTTTTCATATTGATTACTTTTGTCATAATTAAAGCCAGAAGCAAGTTTAATTATAGATTTAGCAGTTATATGTGTCTTGGGTCCCATTGAAATAGTAATTTTCAGCTGGATGCAGTGTCTCACGCCTATAATCCCAGCACTTTGGGGGACCAAGGTGGGTGGATCACCTGAGGTCAGGAGTTTGAGACCAGCTTGGCCAACATGGTGAAATCCCATCTCTATTAAAAATATAAAAGTTAGCCAGGTGTGGTGGTGCACATAGTCCCAGCTACACAGGAGACTGAGGCAGGAGAATTTCTCGAACCGGGGAGGCTGAGGTTGCAGTGAGCCGAGATCTTGCCACTGCATGCACACCAGCCTGGGCAACAGAGTGAGACTCCTATTTAAAAAAAAAAGAAATAGGAAACAACTCTCTCCTATCTGGTATATATGCAACATAGATTGTCAAATTTCAAAAGGTACCTAACAGTTTGTTTTGAATGATTTCTAATATTCTTTAAGACTTGTAGTGCCTCACCTGTTATTAATATCAGTTATTCTTCAGTAATATGAACACAGAGAATGGAAATATTCCTTAAGAATTTATTTTTTGTGTTAATTCTGATACCGTTTGTTTCATGTTTTCATTTAGAGTGCAGAAAAATTCCAGTGTTTTGGATATAAGATTTAGTATTATTCAACAAACATATCAGCAAATAAAGTTAAAATGATGCTGACAGTTTTTTCTTGAAATTTCAAAAACAGACTGTAGATCTTCTTTAAAATTTTATGTTAAAATGTGTTATAAGTTAGAATACCTTTTTGACTGCCTATTCTCCATATTTTGGGACACATTAGAGAAGAATATTCAAATTGGGAACTATCATGGAAAAGCAAGAAATCTGAATGGCTTAACCCTAAGTTCTTATGATGAACCAAAAGTGGTGTGATAAATCCATGCTTCACTATTTTTGGTACAAAATCCAGAATTAAATTGATTACTAGATTGATTTTATTTGTTTGGCAATGCTAATTTGTACCTACCATGTGACAGGCCCTTTTCTCACCTCTCAAACTGTAGAGATGAATGAGGCAAAGTCCCTTTCTACCAAGAACTTGATGATTTTATGGAGAGACAAATACATAAATACTGGGATGGGTAAGCTGAAGAGAGGAGAGAGCAAGTGATGGTCTCCGTTGGAGTATTTTTTTTTATTATTCTTAGTGGCTCCCTCATATTAAGGTTAGAGCAGATTCTCTGCGCTTTGCAGTCTGGTAATGTAGATTCACTGATGGTCAGATGGAAAGTAGAGTTTTTTTCTATCTAAGTTTACATATTCAAGGCAATGAGCTATAGCATTTTATTTAGAGATGAAGAATATTGAGTAGATGGAAAGGTAACTGAGTTATAGCCTCTTTCCTAATTAAGTTACATATTTGTGTTGTAGTGATTGACTTTTTTTGCATCTGTACTAGATTTACCTTGAATTAAATTGCAGTCTTTTTTGATGATGGTAGAAGTGGCACAAAAGTGTCTTATTAAAATGCAAAAGTGCCTAAGTCTGCAAACAGAGCAGTAAATTGTAAGACAGAGGCCTAGAAAATATGCTAGTGGTCTCATTGGAATCATCTTTGTTCTCAGTGTTGACAATTGCTTAATGGACTGTGCTCCACTGAAGTTTTTGGAACAAACCTTCTACTTAGAGTCACTTTGCCATTTTATTTTTCTAATGACATACTATGCTGTTGGGGCAACAAACTGTACATCCTCTCCTGCTACAAAAGCAAAAGACAACTTTAACCAAGATAAAAATGAAGTTGGAATTCAGGTGAGAAAGTGTAGGATAAGGTAGTCTTGAAAGACTGGGTATTGAGTTGGGAAGGGCTTTGAAGTTAGATCTGTTTCAGTTCTAGCTCCAGCCTTTACTCTCTGTAAAGGGGAAACTTAATCTCTCTCTTCAGTTTCCTCATCTCTGAAATGGGGATACTAATACTACCTACTTAACACAAAGAGATTTCACCAGTATTGTTTTTCGAGAGATATGTTAACTTTGGCTTTAATTTTGATTGCAGGTCATTTATTCATTAACAGATCTTCAGCGAACATTCACTATCGGCCAGGCACTGTATTGGTTGCTGGGTAGATTGAAGAGACCAATAAAATACGATCCTTATACTCAAAGAACTCAAACCCTAATAATTATTCTTAGCTTGTATCCAAGTCTTTGAATGTATAGAGTAGCATGG